GCCTATAAAAAAGTTGTTTCTGACAATCGTCACAACTTTTCAGATTATAGCACGAAGCATCTTGTTGAGGCTTATTCTAATTCCTCTGTTTTGAGTCATAACTGACGTGTATGTGGTGGATGAACGGCTTGGATTTCTGTTTAAGTCTTTGCGCGGAAAGAATGGAATCTTACATTTGCACTGTAGCAATTTGATCACGGAAAAGATCTTTTATCACCGCAGTACGCCGGTGTATTTAGAGATCAAAGAGCACCGTAAATTAGTCTGGACAAAGGGAGTATGCGATCGTCCGAGAACATGCTCCAGTTCAACATGGACAAGTAAAATATGCTGAGCATGCGTCAACAGTGCACTCACGGATATCAGTTAGGGCCACAAACACTGCAGCAATCTTTCAACAAGAAAGATCCAGGAGTGTTCGTGCTGTATGACCATAGCTGTTTCAGCTGATATGAAGGCACGTGGAAGGAGGCAAATCCGCACTTCCGCATCTTGCGCCAGGTGTTCCAGTAGTTCGACTTTTTAATATTTACCGCGAATGCTCGACGCGTACGCAAGGCCGCACGTGGAATAGGCTACCCAGTTTTAGCAGTCCTGACAGAAGTACTATTACACCCGCTAGAAAATGAAAATATAGAGTTACAAAGATGTAAAAAGTTTGTTCAGTCTGCTCCGCTAAATTTCGTCGACAATTAAGAGTGTACATCGGAAGTTTTCGGCGTCCACGACATGACCTCATACTGGTGTAGCAGATCCTGAAAAAACCCGATCACTCTTGTCATCATCTCATGAAACTCAGCCAAAACACTTCACAGTGTGACCATTAGTTCAAGCTGGCCAAGTAGTAGAGTAGAGTGGAATGTCGTCGAAACGCATTCTCTCTCTCTGAGTGTCCTACATATGCATCTTCCTCCCTAGCGCATATTAGTCATGTGCTCAACTTATCCCCGTTCGTCAGACGAGTTGACCACGCACTAATATATTTACACTAGTTTCAACTCACACGCAATCGCAGGGCGTCGCTCTGGTATGGTCGACAAGTCCATGTTCAACCAATCGGACAATGTCAATAGATCCATTCCTATTTGGAGCCACCATACTCCCAAAGACTGGCGTGCATCAACGTGCCCACTTTCTTACAGATTGACCAACAAGCAGCATTTGCCAGAACACTAGTGACCAGATTGACCGAGAGCTGTTGCTTATCGGAAACCCGCCAGCAAGAATCGAGCAATGTGCTTATACTGCGACCCACCAAATATGACAATGGCGGCACTTTATTATATCATCATCATCATCATCCTCATCATCATCATCATCATCATCATCATCATCATCATCATCATCATCATCATCATCATCATCATCATCATCATCATCATCATCATCAATACACACCAGCCGAGGATGAGAAACACACCTCAGCTAATGTGCCGTAATACAAAACAGTAAGACATTTGAAATGTAGACTTCAAAGCTGTATTATAGTAACATAATGCTAATAGCATTTTTTGATCGTTGTTGTAGAGGGGAGCTAAAAGGAAGTGGAGGGAAAAGGAGACCCACAATACAAAGGCCACTGAGATGGACCATTTGCCATGTCAGCTAGTGTATCAATCAAACGTGTTCAGCATCCTTTGGCCCCCAGCCAGGCGCTTTCTCATTGCATTTGTCCGATGACGCAGCTTCAAATGCCGGTTAGGCTGGTGTGGGTATTGCTTTGAGTCCAAGGGAAGAAGCTGCCCTGGTCGTTTGGATCCCAGTCAACAGTCGAATGTGCGCCGTCATGTTGGCTGGATCGATACCAAGTTTCGAAGTCGCGCGCAGACAAACGGTGTCTGTTTGTCATTGCGGCCTACGCACCCACAAATTGTTGCTCCAACTCGGTGTAAGGTGAATTACATCACCAAATGAGCAAGCTCCTACGTCTCAGAATGAATACGGATCCTGTGACGCTTGCTGGCGAACTGAACGCACGAATTGAAAAATTCCAACTGATTGGCTGTATTTGGTCAGCCAGCATGGTACAGGCTCCCGTAATGATAACGCTGAGCCGTTGCTTCACCTGTGTGAAGAAGCCCGTCTATTTCTCGCGAGCACTAACTCTCGACACAGCACTCGCAGAAGAGTGACATGACACCAACCTGCCTCCAACCAGCTATGGACGCACATCGATCACATCATAATCAGTTAAGGCTGGAGATGTGTCAAAAACTGTCACACAATTTAGAGCAAGAGAGTGAACTCTGACCACGCATTTGTTTACGCCGACCTGCGGGTACGTTTCAGAGGACAGCCGCAACGACGCTTTGAGCGCATATATACTTGCCAACTGGCGAAGGCAGTTGTTCTACATGCGTAGCGAAGTACACTAACATTCGAGCTGAGTAAGCGCTAACTGAACACAATTGCAGATCACTGGTTGCACATCAGCCAGATCTTATTAACAGCAGGCATGCTTTCAGGTGGCAAATCAAATTGCCAACCAAAACATTGGATCTCTACGCAGTCTCCGGAAAACTTTAGACGCTGGAATACACATTCCGGCCGGAAGTGAACACAAAGTCTTGCAAAAACCTCAGGGTAAGATGGCTTGCTAGCCCGAATCCTGGTAGTCTCATCGTGCATCGGAAATGGAGACAGCTGCATCCCTACGTAACCGCCGGAAGTTATTCCGTCTGATACACGAACAAGGTAACAGAAGACCTTATATTAGCAAAACGGTGTGCCACAATAGCGGACAGCCAATACACAGCTTGTCAAAACTTTTGGAGCGTTGGGATGAACACTTTGAGAATCAGTTTGCTCAGCCAGATCACCCATCTTCCTTATTGGCCAATGATTACCCTACCACCTAGGCCGTACACTTGGATCCGCCTTCGCGCGCAGAAGTCGAAGGTGAGATAAGACTACTGAAATTAAACAAGGCCGCGGGAGCAGATAGAGTTCCTCCAGTCCGCTTCAAATTAGGGGACGTACTCTAGTAGATGAATTGCACAATTTACTGGCAAAGCTATAGAAGCAAGTGACTGTCCCAACAGGCTGCTACGGCTTCGTCATGGTCCGAATTTCCACTGAAGGTCCACGTTTAGTTTCGCCAATGAAAGGGGGATCAATCCGATCTAAATTGCTTTTAAGTTGCTTGCCTCTGTCATGCTTCTTAGACTGACTGACACTCATGAGAAAATGAGTAGCGAGAAACAAGCCGGATTTTTCCGAAATCGAGGATGCCTTGACCGCGTCTTCACTTCACACCAAATGTTAGGACACCGCCAAATTTATTGGCGACCTCCAGTAGCCGCGTTCTTGACAAAAAAAGGTGCCTTCGATTCGGTGGATCGAGGTGCCATTTGTGACCGCCTGTTCAGGAAAGGTGTGTCCGAGAAATACGCAGACATTATCAAAGCACTTTACTCGCATAGTTCGGGCAACGTGAGGGCTTACGGAAAACTGTTGCTGCTCTTCAATATCTCTAACAATGTGAGAGTAGATTGCCCGTTGTCTCCTTCCCAATTTAACTTCACCGATGATTAAATCACGGAAATTTGCATTCACTAGACACGACTTAGAATCCGTGGAGCTACATGTAGATGAAATTGTGCGACCCTGTGACAGCTCCCAAACTTGCTAAGCAGAACTGAACAGATTAGCACCGGCTGTCAACCGTTTTGGAATATGTTTCGTACCCTCGAAATGCAAAGTCTTTCTCCAAGATTGGAGAACTACGTTGGCAGTTACATTAGCGCTGATAGAATAGAAAATGAGCTCACAAACAGTATAGCAAAGGCTCGAGGCGTTTTTGCTAATATCCAGCACCCGTGGCACAGGTACAGCCCTACTCAAGCCCTGAAGGACTGTTTAAAATACAGCCGCCCGTTCAATTCTCGTGTACTGCGGCGAAACGTGGACTAGGAGATCGGCACATAAAAGAGGCTAGCTATGTCGACCATCACTGTCTTCGCAGCTTAGCTCATGTCTGGTGGGAACACCGCGTGAGCATTGAACTTGGTCGGCGTCGCGTACTTAGTACAAGAAGAGCGATTGAACCGCTCAGCACTAGTATATCACACACCACGCTCAAATGGCTGGGCCATGAGTTCTGCATGCCAGCACACCGACTCTCGTGACGTTCGTTATTTGTGCGATCGGAGGTCTAGATGGAAAAAGAGGAGGAAAGGCCAAGCGATGATTAGATTATGAGGAGTGAAAACCCTCACTACGAACTCGGAGTCGGTTAGTGCCTTCCGATTGTCCGGCAGGGATCCGAAGGGCGATGGACATGTTTGATTCATTAGTTGACATGGCTAGGAGCCGATCTTAATGGCGTTTGTGTTGTGAGTTTATTTGTCCCTCCCATTCCCGCTTACCTCCGCCCTCCAACACTGACCTCACGTTGAACGGAGAATATTACGCTTAGTATTATATTGCTTGCTTCTTTAGTTTTGGTATTCTGTAATCCTCAATACCTCTTTTCCCATATAGCTTATCTTTTGTATTGGGGCACATCATCCGAACTGTTTCCCAATTTCAGCTTATGTGCATTGATGATGATGAGTTATATAGTACCCGCTTAACGAATGATGACATTGGTGCAATAGAAATGACGTACTCACTAGATCCGCATTCAACGTGACGCAGGAGTGCGTGCAGCTGTGCTAATGCGGAACATTTCGGTGAGCCCAACTGCAACCGTGTTATTTTAGGAACACCGTGATTCAGTTTGTAATTTGTACCTCCAACACAGGGTTTGTCAAAAATTTCGTCATTTTCCGTTATATACCATTGCTACATTGTACTGAACTGAGCTAAATGAAATTTCCGTTTTTCAAGGTGGTAGTGTAGGCGTACCCAAGTAGCCTAGAATAGATAGGTGATCATTTTACTGAGCTAAGATGGTGGTAGCTATTGTCGGACAAGCAGAATGAGAAATAAACAAAAGGCACATAAGGACAAGGATTGAAGGTTCCATGAATGGTATAATTCCACTCGTCGTCACTGACCTGAAAGTGATCTTGATGTGTCGGAGCAGCCCGTCAGATATTTGCTCAATTTACTGCCGAACCATTCGATATCGTTTAGGCAACGGTTGAGTAAGTAGAGGCTTTCTTCGTAGCCGTTCTTTGAATTATCACTCTGGAAATAACGCAACAAACTTATTTCCAAGACAACTGCAAGTGGAGCGCATGGGAGCAGATGCCGCACAGTTATGTTGCGGTCAATACCCATGCTAAAGTAAAATGGAGTGGACAAACTTGAATAGATGATAAAACGGGCAGCAAAAAGAGTCTGAACAATAGATCAACATCAAAAGACAAGGGGGCTTTTGTTGAAAACTATGCCCAAGAAAGCATTTGCTGAATTATCGGGAGCTGCTGCACAATTAGAAATTACTAAATCACTTGAGGCACGACGCAGATGGTCGGCTTGTCAAGCATAGCTAATGCTAGCAGTTTTGATGGACAGACAAGGTTTAGTTTGACTGAGATCTCCTTCAATCCTCCGTTGGAATTCAACATTCCAGGCACTTTCCCAGATGTGGAACAACTTCGGACGCTAGGTATGTTCGGACTATGTTAACTAGGTCCGAACTAATGAGGCTCTTGTGGCATCAATGAGTTCCATCGTAGTTCGCAGGGCTCGGTTTCTATAGAACACATCTGCTTGCAATTGTGGCAAAATAAGTGCTTCGGGCTGATACCGGTTAAATGTGGCTGGAAAATGGCTAAAAATTACTCTGCGGTGAAATCCACGTTGCTGCTGGCCCCACACGATGGAACAAGAAGAGTGGGATCAGTCAGTGGCAACAATAGATGGAAATGGCTTTCTGGCATTGGACGCAGTTTTCTAGACAACTGAAAGGCTAGACAATCTCACATACTTCACCGGTGAACGTAGTACAACGCGTTGTGATGAAAGGTGAGCGCACGAAGCGCGGTTACACATATCTGGCTACTATAAGCATGCTGAACGTGACAATCGACTGCGAGCTTGGAGTGCGAAAGGCTGATAAAGAAGTGCGGCGGGTTTTCGTTATTTGCTTTCAAACGGTCGCGCTCCTAGCTTCAACTGCTATTATTTGTCAGTTATGGCTGAAGTTGCAGTACGCGATATGAAGACGAAAACTGGTGCATGTAGGCCAACAGTATTGTCACTTCAGTGTCAAAAAACAGAGAGGCGTGGGCAGATACGATAGAGAGAGAGAGAGCGAAAGCCCGGACCTGAGACGTGAATGAAGGAGTGTAATACGCACAACGCCACTAGAGCGTCAGGCTGACAAATAACTGGTTTTGTACACAGCGTTGGCTGGTTCCACAATCATGACAGTCGCAGAAAAATGCAAAAATAGGTGTTAACCCAACTCGATACGACTCTGAGCGCGAAATCGACTCCATCGTGGGCATGGACAATGCGAAAATCGTCTAAAAGCCTAATGCTTGTCAACCCAATTTATTTATTAGAAGCACAACCCGTGTTATGATCGCCTTTGATAGCATCCAGGTAAATTAAATCAGTTACTCTCACAAACCCATTCTGAAAGCGCACTCAGTTTAAGAGCGCTCCAGCAACATCTCATATAAGTCTAAGTGAGGTGGAAACAAGTTTAGTATCAAACATGAGACCAGAATGCCGAACAACCTCCTAGTGGTGCCAGCTGCGCGGTTCGGGATTATCCTGCTCCTGCCAATGGTTCAGCTGCAGTGTTCCAGGACAGAAGTTGATACGCTTAGCCGCCAAACAACAGCACATGCCGTCTGCGAGACGAACGAGCAAACAGAGGAAGCAACACTTCGTATGGCGGTTAACACAGTAGACAATCAATCAGAGGCACAGACCGGTCATGGGCAGAGGACCGTTGTTGTGGCGGGCGAAGGAGGATGTCGGACGCCAAGCCAATAAGCATCGGCGGGAGTCAGGATAAGAGCTCCAGTGTCAAGGTCACAGATCGCAAGCTGCCTGCCGAAGGGCATAGGACAAATAATAAACAAACACCGAGATACGGTCCGCGGAGCCAATCAACATCGCCGTCGCGGACGGGTTGCGGTTAGATGAACGACTCAGAATTAAGGAGCTCGAACCAAGGAATACAAACGCACAGTTAGCGCGGAAGCCAATGAAGATGCGACGCAGAACATAGTAACATGGAGCATAAAATAAAGCATGGTACAGCAATAAAGGTTCTCGTGTCGCTGCACATTCCTCCTTCTTCTTAGCGGAGTGCCTCTCGCTTTACAGTCGGTTTTCGCTTGGCAAGCGAGCTCTCTAAAAAAGCCATTAATATCAGTTTAACAACACTGTGACATGACGGATGTGACTTACCACTAAATGAGGACACTGTCCCTTGCTTCATTCAGGCGGAGCACTGTAAATCTACCATTCTGATGGTAAAATTGTGGGGAAAATGGGATCCTCGTTTGGTAAGTATCCAAACGAAAGGTTTATGGACTGAGTAATCGGTCACCGGCTCTCAATGGGCTCGATTCTCTGAATTCGCTCTGCTGCCTTGCGGGTAGGCTATTGGGCCAAAGGCTCAGGTGGGTGTCCAGTAAGAAAATTCCCTACCTTGACTTGGGCAACCGCGTAGTGTCATGCTCACGGACATATTCATGGATGTCGCAGCTACTACTACTAGGCCGTTCCCTTCTGTTTCTGAGCTTCTCATTGCTTAAGCACCTCCATCACAGGCCAATCCTATCTTCGTCAATAATTCCTTTGAAGCTACTTCTGGTGACAGTCTCGCCCACGTGCAAATAATCAGACTAGTGGCCCTCCTTGGAACTCCATGTCCATTTCGGTTGGCAGCCTCCAACGTTAGAACCCTTATGCAGATCGGACAACATGCCGGCCTAGTGCGCAACTCGGAGTCCCTGGCTACTCTTGTCTGTCGTCTTTCTAAGACCCAGTTACAGGACTTGTGCACCGTAGTTAAGTTGGCGTCCCCTGCTGATCTCAAGACCAAATAGTCCCTACATCTGTCTAGTGACACGGAGGCGGTTACAGCAGGCCTGGCTGGTGTTGGCATCGCATTTAGTGACAAAGCTGAGGCCTTACCGCTCGACTGGTTCCTCACTGACAGCCGACTGAGTGTAATTCGACCTCAAGACTGGTGCAAGATCAATAGGCCCGCCTACCTTGACTCAGATCACGCTCTGGTCTGTGAGAACATCTGCATGTGCTTTGGCGATTCCTCGAAATACAAGCACTGTACAGTCGATACCGACAGACAAGCTAACTTCTTTATTCAACTGGCCTATTGATCTTAACAAATGCGTTCGGTCGTGCTCCACCTACACATGTCGAACATCAATGGAGTTTCGTGCAGGCGCTGCGTTCTTCCGGCAAATCATACTGTGGAATTGTTGGGAGTTTTCTGAGACGCTGGATCACTGCTCACTCTCTGGAAGTGCTTGCCCGTCGCCGAGCAATCCCAGCTGATACAAGTTGCGATGAAGTCAGCCGCAGCCTAAGTCAATAACTCAAGCAAAGCTTGCGTAATAAGCGTGCAATTCGGTGGTCACAGTGCCCTTCGGAGATGGAGAGTATCATTTTTTGCAAAATTTCCCAAGGTTTCCAGATCATTCGAAACACTGGCCTGGGGTCTGTGAAGGTATTTGAGAGGTTGATGTTTCACCACCACAAATTGATGTAGGTGAATGGATTGCTGGACTGAACACCTCCACTCCCAGTTCAGTTGGCCTCTTCTGGTGTTTAACAAGTATGTCTAATTGCGTAACTTGGAACGTTTTACTGGAACCATTAAGCGAAGTGGTGATTTGTCTCGAGCTTCGTCACTTGAAGTGATTCAAAGTTGCTGGCACAGACGGACTTCCTCCGAAGGTGTTCAAGTACGGTGGCGAGGCAACTGTGAACCAGTTAACAGCTCTGTTCGCCGAGATCTGATGTGAAGGAAAGGTCCCATCCTCTTACAGCGAGTCAAAAATCGTACCCATCTTCAAAATGAGTGCTCGTGCCTCATGGGCCAACCACAGAGAAATCAGTATAATAGCCGTCGCCTCCAAATTGCTAACATCTATTTTACTCCGCAGGCAAACACTATTCAAGAACCACACTTCCGTGATGGACAGGCTAATTTTCTCCCCGGTCAATGGTGTGTAGATCGCAAGTTTACGTCCAGTCAACTCCTCGAGCAACGCCACCTTTATCGCCAACGTACCAATGTCCCCTTTTGGACATCCGAGAAGCCTTTGACTTGGCCGATCGGCCTGCTTTATGGCTTCATCTGCAAATGACATGTGTGAAGGCAGTAATGTGAACTCCAAATGTTTCGTATGGGCAGCAGTGGCGTGAGTCATGCGCGGCATCCGTTCACACATAATAGCGTGGCGGCAACACCACGTAGGAAAACTAGCGCCAAATGTAAGTGGCTGGCTTAGCAAGATTGTGTTGATAGACAGAGCAACCACGATCTAGCAAAACCCCAACAACTCCAATAATCCCGTTAATCTGGAGCCAGCTATTCATGGTCTCACGAAAAGCTTTGTGGTTTGATTCCTACGGAACAACATAATGATGACAGTTCTAAAAACCGGACGGGACACTGTCCCGTATGGAAAATGTAAACATAAAGAGATTAGTTCCTAGACTTTATCAACCTAAAGCGTGGTCGCTGGAGGGACACTAGATCAGTTCGATTATCAGCTGAAGGAACAACATATGTTCAATTAAATGGAGGTGAGCAGTTCAAAAAAATTCCAGGGACGTAAGTCGCTGAACCGTTTAAACTTACAGTGAAGCTCAATTTGTCAATCGACCGTTGGCCAACTAAATTTGCTTCTTTCATCTCCGGCAGACGTTTTACGATTGTTCCGGGGGTAGCTCTGTGAATGGACATATAGTGAAGGTTAGTTAGGCAGCAAACAACGGGAAATTTTGAAACTGCTTCGCTCCGTGATACATTTATAAAGAAATGCAATTCAGATAAATTCTAAATGGAGCAGTACAACACACCATTTGGGGTTGTGGGGTATAAATTTAAGGAGAACAGAGAGAAAGTATTTGTAAAACTTAACACGATAGTCCTACGTACATGCGTCAACCCAACTTGACAAGTCCCCCCACATCGCTGCAGCACGAAGAAACTGCGAACCAACAACTATAATTCAAACAGTGGCAGACAAATAAAGCGGAGGCAGTTAAGCAGATGTAAATTTCAAAAAGGTAGATATTTGTTCATATAACGCCTGTGCGCAAGTAAAATTACACCCACTGCCAGACAGTCATCAAGCATTACCGATAGCGCTTTTACTTTCTCCAACGTTGGTGAGTCAGCGCAGCATAATACCTTTGGACGGTATATCAAACTAATGCATTGATGACCGCAGCGTGACGCGTCGGGTCACTTTCCAAAAGTGGATCTGATCATCTGAGGGCACCTAAGAAGCTTGAATAAATTTCAGGTTACTGGCACTGCTGATACATCCCATTCATGCCTGCGTTGAGTTTTAAACTTGGCGTATGCAACTGATTCAGTAGAACAAAAACTCCACAGTTGTCAAATCCATTCAGGAGACAACACACGATAGATGCAGATCGACGAAGCCAAGTAGGTGAAAGACCTTTAATGTCAATTCATCCATGTGAGGCAGTGATAATTAAAACACTTGGTATTGGTCCGCTGCTCTACCATTGAGCTGCCGAGGGCTGACGATTAGGTGCGCAATTTTTAATACATGACTTATGCTTGGTGCGCGACGTATTGCCAATGAACTCACAGTATCTGTTCTGGTGTTGCAGATTGGCTCACTCACCTGTCACTTCCCAATGGACCGAAGTATCAGTCCTTCAGATGTCCAAAGGGCGACGGTAGATGAATTGTGGATGTTTGTGAGTAGTGTAAAGTTCGTAGAAAGTAGAAGTCACGATTAAACTTCGTCGCACACCAAGCAGAAGTCATGTATTAAAAATTGCGCACCTAATCGTCAGCCCTCGGTAGCTCAGTGATAGAGCAGCGGACCGGAAATTCGTTGGACCGGGGTTCGATTCCCCGTTGAGGCACATTATTGTGTGTGAATTTTAATCGTGACTTCTACTTTCTACCAACTTTACACTACTCACAAACATCCACAATTCACCTGGTATTGGGTTGGCCACCTAGTTGATTTGGAGAAAGTAACCTAACCAGTCGAATGGATTTCTTCAGCGCATTTTATGTTCCATATAGGAACATACAGTTAGTTGTCTTGATCTAATTTAGCAGCAAAATAATTGATTCGGACGCATTAGAAGATGTGAGGCGTGAAATCAATCTACGAGATAGGCATAGGCGGCTATTAAGATGGTGGGGTTCAGCAGGCCTGTTGTTTAATCCACACAGCATCAAAATTGACCGGTCTCATGTTGAAAAAAACGGACACATCACCAATTTGCAGGAGATTACTGTGCCAAAGATGAGCTGAAACAGCACTCTGCTAATGCAGTTTGTTTCGCGCTCAATCTTATGTGTGTTCGGCATCTACCAATGGCTCGAAACAATACTGACACTTTTAGTCAAGAGCCTGTCGCTGTGTCAAAGCATTGCACAGTGTACTGGCGAGGAAGGCAAGACTCATAAGTGAAATGGACAAGCCGCGGAAAGTAAGAAAGAGGAAAACTAACCAAAGCATCAGGGATTAAAGTCGACAAAACAACTCGAGGCCTACGGGACAAGCCGGAAATCGTCTACGGGCAACAAACAATACCGGGCCCAGAGCTGGAAGAGCGGGAGATGTAGTGGTGAATAGCCCGATTTTCCGGGAGAGCGACGTAACTCCGATTAAGCAAGCCAAGAGCATTAGGACGGATCCGGCCCGGTCAGAACACGAAGGCAACAGATCGGTCAAAATGGACATGGTAGGTCGACTGACATCGGGGCATGAATGTGAGGCCGAGCGTAAGGACATTTTGTGGTGTGTGATGCGTTGATATTGACCTACATGAGTGTGCGCGTGCGTGATAGCCTGTGAAGTCGTTGGGCGTTTGTCATAAAGACTGTGCATCCCTACCTCCTAGTTCTCGTTACAATACTGAAACTTCGAGTCAGGAGCCTGTCCCTCTCTGAAAGCGCTGCACACTCAGGATGGATGCTTCACCATCAGCGGCTGGATAAGACACACTACCAACGTTACCATCAAACTACGATAGCTGGGAGTGAGCAACACACCTCAGCTAGTGTGACGCAATATAGAACGAGATCAGATATTATATAATACGAAAATAAAAAGTAATATAACGCCAAATATAATATTAAGCATTGGGTGAGATCATGGTTGGAGGATGAAACTAAACGGGAGGAGAGGGACAAAGAAACTCACAACACAAGCGCCATTGAAAGCGGATCCTTGCTATGTCATCTAGTGTATCCAACCAAACGTGGTCATTATCCTTCCGCCCCAGCCCGGCAGTCGGGAAACACCAACCGACGCCAGCTTCGAAAAGAGGGATTTCGTTTCTCTTGGTCAAAGCATCGCTTAGCTTCCCGTCTTCTTCTACGCTCCACACTTCGGCCACTCAAAAAACACGTCCTGGGAGTCGGTGTGCTGGTATGCCCAACACGTGACCCAGCTTTTGGAGCCTGGTGCGTGATATTATGGTGCTGAGCAGTTCACATGCTCTTCCTGCACACCGTAACCGTGTCAATAATTATTATAACTACAAAGATATCATCACAGTGTTGCGCCATAACCTTTAATTAGCCGAAAACTTTCTCGCATCTCTACAGACGACATAAGAGTCGAACATTTACAAGAATCTTACTGATGCTTGCAGCGACCCATTCGTCGATGGCATCGCTGGTGTAAAGCAGCCACCTTTGAGGGTGAACCAGTACATGCTCAGTTATTTGACCGAATACTGATGTGTTCGCCGCTTCTTTCGACAGTGTCGTGCATTTAGAAGGTGCAACATGTATCATATCATGTATCATAAACCTACAGTAATCTACGGCAGCTTCTCTAAGGGCGCTTGCATAGTACCTGGGTCCAACTTGAGATTAAGTTCAAAAAAGACAGCCAAACTAGAGTCACGAGATGTTTAGAGCAGAACTTAGTAGGAGACAGCTGATAGACTTGATATTCTTAGCATGATGGGAGGCAACTAAGGGAGTAGCTTTATGGAACTGCACACTACTCTGGAGTTCCGGTACAGCTATCATACATAACGCCTTAAAGTACACGTGAGAATAGAGAAATATAACGCGGCTCTTAGGCCAAGCAGAACGTTCGTGGTAGTACTATGCCTGATATCGTTAAGGCATCGCAGGTTAGGCAAAATATGGTCAATAAGTCCTCCACCGAAATGGAAGGCAGTCTAGTTTTCACTGGTTCTAATCTCACAAGTACCAGGGAACTGTTCTAGCATGATCGATGTAAGCAGTCTGGAGGCACTTGCGATGCGCTTAAGCTCTCCGTCTTTGGCAAGGTTACAGTCCACACTGTGAAAGTGAGGGATAACTTGTAACAACCACCGGTCCGAAGACATCACCACAGTATCTCATGCCGGCCCGTGGCAAAAGGACAAGGCGTCTGCCTTGCAACAAGGAGGCTGCGGGTTAGAGGCTGTGTAGGGGAACTGAGGACTTTTGCAGTATCTTTAGCCCACACACAACTGGTGGCGGTTGGGGGCAGCGAAGCATGAGTATGGCGTACCGGCGTACTATTGATGCCTGACTTTCTGAGCAAGACAGTTATGTCTGTTACCAACGGATAGCCGACGCACTTCAGTACCGAAAAATATAGGTCGCTTCAACACCAGTTTGGCGTGAGCCTGTTAACGATAGGAGGCATTAGATCTCATTTTCGCGTAAATAGAGATTGTTAAAGTAATCAGGCGACTCGGTAATTTGACTAAACTGCTTTTCAAAATGTTCCATCCAACTTCGGAATTAATGAACTTGTGAATGTATTACTTGCTTAGTCTCAGTCTTTGTGCCACCCACTATCCCTGTTGAAGAGTACTTTGACTGAGGTGGACAGTAGTTAGCCGCATCCAGTGGCATTAGCATTCCTCTTGCCGTTTCGCAGCGGTCCGGACTAATCCTGAGGTACGCAATCAGTGTGGATCCGCAATATCTTAGACACTGAAGCTGATTATTCACGAAAAAGACTTTTGAAACATAAGAATGTAATTCACCGTCGGTAATCCTCAGTGTTGACAGTTATGCGGCTTACAATGCGTCAGCGCAAAGTGGAAGTGACTTCAATCAAAAGTTGGCTCATACATCATTTACCATCAGTTAAAGCCGATATATTAACCCGATTAATAGTTGCTTTGTGAATATTCCGGTACTCGACGCGTAAATAAGCCCGGAGTCTGGTGTCTTGCTGAGACCAATAGTGAGTGCTAGGACATTACGCATTGAGTCCTAAGGGGAAAAAATTGATGTTGAAAACAGACTACGATGTGATGTTATTATCTAACATTTCGGTGGAGGTCAAGTGAGGCGATGCAAATGATTATATTGAAATGGAGTGACGGCAAATACCGGGGTAAATTCTGGCAGTTATCATCATCATCATACACGTTGGCTGCCGGTGGAAAACACCTGAACGAGTTCTAGCAGATCACTACCAAGCGTTAGCGCAGGATTGGGTCCCTGCCTATTTTGGAGAAGTACTTTGCATTTGAATGGAGCAATGCATATCCTAAAACGATCGACAGCCAGTGCTAATCGGTCCAGTGCTGTTTGTCATGTTTGGGAGCTGTCACAGATTAAGGCGATATTGTCCGTATACTCTAAGTCAAGAAGTCGCTCACCAGGAACTAGCCCCACACCTTCTAGGTCGAGTCCAGCGAACGCTCTTTCCATGACTTCATCAATAGCGAAGTTAAAGAGGAAAGGTGA